CCTTTTTTTTTTTTTTTTTTTTGAGATAGGGTCTGGCTCAGTCACCCAGGCTAGAGCACAGTGGCATGATCTTGGCTCACTGCAACCTCTGCCTCTTGGCTCAAGTGATCCTTCCACCTCAGCTTCCCAAGTAGCTGGGAGTACAGGTGCATCCCACTATGACTAGCTGATTTTTGCATTTTTTGTAGAAACGGAATCTCACTATGTTGCCCAGGCTAGTCTTTAACTCAAACATTGGCCAGGCTGGTCTTGAACTCCTGAGCTCAGGTGATCCACCCACCTTGACCTCCCAAAGTGCTGGGATTACATGCATGAGCCACTGTGCCTGGCCCAAAGCAGTCTTAAAAAGGAACAACGAAGTTGGTAGTCAAACTTTCTGATTTCAAATTGTATTTCAAAGCTACAGTAATTAAAACAGTGAGGAACTGCATAAATACAGACCATATAGATCAATGGAACAGAATCCAGAATCCAGAAACAAACCCTCACATATATGGTCAAATGATTTTCAACAAATGTGCCAAGAACAAACAATGGAAAAAGGACGGTCTTTACAAGAAAAAGTGATGGGAAAATTGAATATCCATATGCAAATGAATGAAGTTGGACTCTTACCTCACACTATATACAAAAATTAACTCAAAATGGATTAAATACCTAAATTTAAGAGCTAAAACTATAAAACTTATAGGGGAAATGCTTCCTGACATTGGATTTAGCAATGCTTTCTTGGTTATAACACTAAAAGCAAAGGCAACAACAACACAATAGATAAAAAGAGCTACATCAAAATTTAAAACTTTTGTTCACCAGTGGACAGTATTAACAGAATGAAAAGGTAACCCATGGGATGGGAGAAAATATTTGCAAATCATTTATCTGATAAGGGGTTAATATCTAGGATATATAAAAAATTCAACAAAAAACAACCTGATTTAGAAATGGGCAGAGGACTTGAATAGATATTTCTCCACAGAAGATATACAAATAGTCAATAAGCATAATAAAAAATGCACAACATACTAATCATTAGGGAAATACAAATCAAAGCAATAAATACCACTTCACACCCATTAGGATGCCTATTATAATAAAACAGAAAATAGTAAGGGTTGGCAAAGATGTGGAGACACTGGAACCACTGTGAACTGTTGGTTGGAGTATAAAATAGTATGGCTGTTGCGGAGAATAGTATGATCGTTTCTCAAAAAACTAAAAACAACATTACCCTGTGATCCAGCAATTCTACTTTTAGAATTATACCCAAAAGAATTGAAAGCAGGGACGCAAACAGATATCTGTACCCACACATTCACAGCAACATCATGCACATAGACAAAATGTGGGCAACTAAGTGTCCATTAATGAATGAACAAATAAACAAAATGCAGTATATACATACAATAGACTATTATTAAGCCTAAAAAAGGTAAAAAATTCAGATACATTCTACTATGTGGATGAACCTTGAGAACATTAGGGTAAATGAAATAAGTCAATCATCAAAAGACAAATACTTTATGATTCCACTTATATAAGTATACAGAGTAGTAATGATGGTTGTTAGGGTTTGGTGAGAGGGAGAATAGGGAATTATCTAATGGATATAGCATTTCAGTTCTGGAATATGAAAAAAGTTTTTGAGATGAATGGTGGTGATGATTGCACAACAATGTGAATGTACTTAATGCCCTTGAACTGTACATTTAAAAAAGGTTAACATGCCAAACATTATGTTACATATATTTTACCACAATTTAAAAAAACTACTTATCATAACAAAATAAATAATATCTACCCACTGGACTCCCATTACATGTTCTCTGAGAAGAGCAGCTGGCTCATTTGTTCATTCAATAATATACGCCCAGGCACATTTTCAGGTTCTTGGGTTATATCAGTGAAAACAAAGATCTCAATTCCTTCTGGAGCTTAATTTCTAATAGGATGAAAAGGAAACAGATAAGAGAAAAATGAAGTAATTTATATAATAAGATGGAAAGTAGTAAGTTATAATGAAAGAAGAAAAGTAGAGAATAGTAATGTGGGAGCACTGAGCTGGGTAGTGGTACTTGTAAATGTTAGATAGAGTGGCCAGAATAAGCTTCACTGAGAAGTTGACATCTGAATTAAGATTTGTCAGAGGTAACAGAGATTATCATATGAACAATATGGAGAAGGATCATACCAGGAAGAGGGAACAGCTAGTGCAAAGGGCCAAAGAACATGGCTCTGTTGTTTGTGCAGCAGCAAGAAGACCAGTGTGGCTGGAGCAGAGTGAGTAATGGGAATAATGATGAGATATTGTTAGAAAAGTGCAGGCCACTGTAAGGCTTTTACTGGATATAATTTGAAGGCAGAGTCAATAAGATTTCTTGACAGATTAGAGATAGAGGAAGAGCAAAAGAAGAACGAAGGATGATTCTAAGATTTTAGAATCATCTTAGACTACATTAAAGATGAACCATGAACTAAGATGTGGAAGGTGCCAAGAAAAGCAGGTCTAGGAAGGAAAAACAGCTGCTTTGTGTTAGATTTATGCATTAGATGTATCTATCAGACATTCACATGGAGATTCCAAATAAATTAGCTGGAAAAATGAGCCTGGAGTTCAGGAAAGAGATGTGACTAGAGATATAGATCAGTGTATCAAAAGTATTTGAAGCCACAGATGATTTCCCCCAAGGGAATACAGATAAAAAAGAAAAGAGGTCCAAGGACTAAGACTTGGGACAACACAATATTAAGAGGTTGAGAAAAAGAGGAAATCTCAACAAAGGAGATTAAGAAAGAATGACCAAAGAGGCAGGTGGAAAACCAGAGACCTCATTTGAATTGGGTACATCTAATACTACAACTTTAACCTTCTGAAAACTGTTTCGTCTCTCCACGCCTGGATTTTCCTTGTCTGTACAATAAACATAATATAAATTATCTAACGTAGCTGTTGTGAGAATTAAATGGGACCAAGTAGAGAAAAATGATTAGCATGTTGACTGTTGGAACTCTGCAAGTGTTCAATGAATAGTAGCCATTATTATTATAATTAATGATAAATCTTAGCCTCCTCCTAGACTATTATCGTCATTTATTCTACCACTTTACAGGAAATGAATTAGGAACTGGAATTTAAGCAGAAGATCAACAGAGGTATTAGAAACCTTTAATGTAACACTGTAACCTACCACTTCAGCCTTAACTTGACTATTCCTCTATCTTGCAAAAATAGAGAAATAGCTCTTGCAAAAATGTGTTAGTTTTTCCTCGAATATGCCCTATATGTTCTGCCTCCACTTCTTGTTCACATTGTTCTTTTTGCTCCACATAATCTCTTTCCGTATTTACCTGCTAAAATACTAGCTCATGCTTTTAAGGCATACCACAAAAGCCACATTCCACTTTGATATCATTATTGATTTATCCTTAATGTGATCTCCCCTTCCTTTAATCTTTGCTGGTTTAATTAACTCTATGGCACCTACCATTTCCTTAGGTTATCCTTTTTAATTCTATAATACCCCTAGCAATATAATCAGTTTAATAATGAGGGTATAAAAAGAGCACATGTACTTAAAAATATGTAATTTAACCACTGTTAATACAATAAACCTTTTAGAAGTCTCATTTGCTCTCATTCTAAGTTTCTGTTTAAATCAATATTCAGCCTACATTAAATCTTGTTTTCTACATACCTCCTTTTTGTATTCCTCACTCTTGCTACTCATGTTGGGAGTTAATTTCCAACCTGAAAACAATGCACTCTGCTAAATCTCATCTTGTTACAATTTGTTCATTATAAGAAACCCAACCTGTTTTTTGGAGCCAGCCTTTTTTTTTTTGGAGACAGAGTCTCACTCTGTTGCCCAGGCTGGCGTGCAATGGCACAATCTTGGCTCACTGCAACCTCCGCCTTCTGGGTTTAAGCAATTCTCCTGCCTCTGCCTCCCAAGTAGCTGGAATTACAGGCACCCACCACCATGCCCGGCTAATTTTTGTATTTTCAGTGGAGACAGGTTTTCACCATGTTGGCCAGGCTGGTCTCGAACTCCTGACCTCAAGTGACCTACCTGCCTCGGCCTCCCAAAATGCTGGGATTACAGCCGTGAGCCACTGCACCCAGACTTCTGTAAAGGCATTTCTACTATTCTTTTTCTATGTTCATAATCCTTAATTAGTCACAATTAATACATTTGTATACTGAACAACTTACTCTATATTCACCTGGAAAAATAAAGCAATCTATTTTCAGCATATTAGAGTATTTAGACATTTGACTTTACTTTCCTCAAATTTTCTGCTTTCCCAAATGATAGCTGGTCTGTTTTTGTTTTAAATGAACAGTGGAAAAGAGGCAGAGTTACTTTGTTGAAAAAGCTTTTTGATTTTGTCAGACCTAACGTTGAATAGTGGCTTTACCTGGTTCAAATCTATTAAACTGTATGATCTTGATGAACACTGCTTAATATTTCTGGTCCTTAGTTTATGATTAAAATGAGATTACTATTTAAAAAGGTTATTAAAAGAATAAATAAAAAAATAGATACCATAAATGAAGTATGAAGACTGGATGCTAAAATAACACTTAGCTTTTCTCTGTATTGTTAACAGAACCCATTTGTATTTGTAAAGCAATTTTCATTTTCTATTGGAAGCCACTAATCTTTTAACTTAGACCAAGATCCATAACAGTCAATGCTGACTTTAAAGCTGCCAAGCAGCACAGCATTTTATAAAGCAAAACATTTTTATTGGTTTACTGATACTGGGTAGAGTTCATATTCTAGTATAATATTCAACATGAACAATAAGTGAAATAATGAAAGATAAGTAGAAAGTGATACACAAATGCTTGTTATTATTGGTAAATTACAATTGGATATAATTATGCAATAATTTTAAAGCTATAAATAACAGGACAAATATATTTAGAGGCAAAGAAAAAATCTTTAAAAAAAGTGTAATGTTTAACGTTCAATGAAGTTGATAAATTATTTATTTACCTGAATCGCTTGCTGCAACAACTGTTCCACCAGGAGCAAAAGGATCATTGTGCTTCAATGTTTCCACCTAAACAAAGCATACAAAACCATGAATGAGAGAGGCAACACCATAGCTGAAACCTCATCACCACTCCAAAGAATATACTATCTACAAATTCTTAATGAATTAAGGAATATAGACATTAGGAACAAATGTTTCCCCATAGTGATCTGCAATCTTACTAACTGGAAATAATACGTATTATTTTCTAATCTTAACTGTGAAACATAACATCCATTCAGAAAAGTACATGAAACAGATCTATGGTTTAACAAGTATGTATCAAGTGAACACTTGTGTAGTTATCTCCCAGGAAACTGACAATACCTCGGAAGTCTTCATGTGCTCCTCTATAATCACAATCCTGATTTTGGTGATACTCGTTTATTTTTTTCTTCATAATCTTGCTAGTTGTATAGATGTACATTGTTTTAACTTTTTACTTATTTCATTTTTTAGAGACAGGGTCTCGCTCTGTCACCCCAGCTGGAATACAGTGGTGTGATCACAGCTCACTGTAACCTCAAACTCCTGGGCTCAAGTGATCCTCCTGCCTCTCCCCTGCGTTAGCCTCCCGAATAGCTGGGACTACAGGTGTATGCCACCACACCTGGGTAATTTTTGTTATTATTTGTAGAGACAGGGTCTTGCTATGTTTCTCTCAAACTCCTGGCCTCAAGAAATCCTCCCACCTTGGCCTCCGAAAGCACTGGGATTTCAGGTGAGAGCCACCACTAACCTTTTATCTTGGAATAATTTAGATTTACGTAAGAGCTGTAAAGATAGTACAGAGTTCCCATACACTCTTCACCCAGTTTCCCCTAATGTTAATATCTCACATAATTATAGTACATCTATTAAAACGAAGAACACTGGTACAAAACTATAAACCATAGATTTTATTAGATTTCACCAGATTCCAGAATATCATTTTACATTTAGAATGCACACACTATTTTAATTCTCACATATCCTAGTACTTAATATCATAAAATGTTAATTTCTATTTTCTAATTGTTATCTAAAAATAATTCTGCATTCTGACCCTCAGAGAGAAAACACATGTACACACACACACACACACACACACACACACACACACACACACGCACATACATAAAGATAGCTTTTTGCTAAAAAGATCCTGCTGCTTTCAATAATAAACTATGTAAAAGTCTGGGATCAAGAGCAACTGATCTTGCTAAAGGTGAGGATGTTACCAGATGCCAGAGATTCTGGCTTTTAACTGTCTTCCTACTTTATACTTTAGTTTTTAATCATAGTCAAACAAATTGTATATTTAGGAAGATAACTGAATTTCCTCTTTCTGGCACCAGGCTCTTTTTAAGGGGCTAGCTGAAAGACTTGGCAAACAGGTGAAAAGTGTGTGAAAAGAGTTTCTGAACATTTATTTGCAACTCTGATGCATGATTATCAATGTCATTTGTATTACAGACTCTATTTCCAATTATCAAGAAGTTGGATATTACAAATAAATGTCAAATAATACTGCCAGAGCTTAATATATGAATTTCCAAGTTAAAAAAAAAATGTAGGCCGGGTGTGGTGGCTCAGGCCTGTAATCCCAGCACTTTGGGAGGCCGAGACAGGCGGATCACGAGGTCAGGAGATCAAGACCATCCTGGCTAACACGGTGAAACCCCGTGTCTACAAAAAATACAAAAAACTAGCTGGGCGAGGTGGCGGGCGCCTGTAGTCCCACCTAATGTAGTCCCAGCTACTCGGGAGGCTGAGGCAGGAGAATGGCGTAAACCTGGCAGGCGGAGCTTGCAGTGAGCTGAGATTCGGCCACTGCACTCCAGCCTGGGCAACAGAGCGAGACACCGTCTCAAAAAAAAAAAAAAAAAAAAAATTTAATTGTAGAGAAAGGTAATGTTAACTGGGACTAACCTTCTCTCTTTATAAAAGAATCCATTAAAACTACTAGCAGAAAGAATACTAATGAAGTTTTTAGAAATGAAAACCATGAATGATAAAAAGTAATGACAGTATTAACTGATGCCAATTATATTATACAACTAGCACACTAACTTAGATATCTGCGGAATACACAGCAATTAAAGAAAAACTTATACTGGTCTATATAGCGAGATAACTTTCCATGTTTCCTAATATGATAGTCATAACACCAGTGTAAGAGAAGGTCACTGACATAACAAGTCACCAAGGACAAGCTGAGCATCCCTTATCCGAAATGCTTGGGACAAAAAGTATTTTGGATGTTGGTTTTTTTCAGATTTTGGAATATTTGTGTTCTATTTACCAAGTCAACATCCATAATCTGAAAATGTGAAAGGCTCCAAAGTCTGTTTGAAACCTTTTGAGTGCTGACATGATACTCAGGAAATGTTTACTGGCACATTTCGGATTTGGGGTGCTCAACCTGTATTATTACTTCCTCTCTTTGAGAGAAAGAAAAACTAACAGGCTGTGTTTTAAACAACAGCTTACAGATTTGATTTGCCATCACAAGGAGAAAGGGAAAGGGCATGTCTACATGTGCGTCAGATTTAGTTTCTAGTCCTTCATCATACACTGTGCAACCACCCTAAAAGGCCGTCAGGACAGCAAGGGGAACAGGACAGATTGTGCAGCCCATGAAGGAACAAGGGGCCACAAAACTCTATGTCAGTTTGATAATTGGGGAGTTTAGCAGGGCCAATTTTTAAAAAATTTCTAGATTGTATTGGTGAAAATCTTAGATTTTGGTTACACAGAACAGAGTTTGAGTCTAGTTCTACCACTAATTAACTTACTACCAACTTAAATCTTTTTTTTTTTTTTTTTTTTTTAATTGAGACAAGATCTCACTCCGTCACCCAAGCTGGAGTACTGTAGTGCAATCATGGCTCACTGTTGCCTTGACTTCCTTAGCTCACACAATCCTCCCACCTCAGTCTCTCAAGTAGCTGGGATTATAGGTGCATGCTATCACACCTGACTAATATTTTAATTTTTTTGTAGAAACAGTGTCTCGCTTTGTTGTCCAGGCTGATTGTGAACTACTTGCCTCAAGTGATCCTCCTGCCTTGGCCTCCTAAAGTGCTGGAATTAGAGGTGGGAGCCACCACACCTGGCCTCAACTTAACATATGTAAACCTCATACGATTACTGTGAAAATTAAACGAGACAATGCATATAAAGAGCTTGGCACCATCCCTGGCACATAGAGGAAATTAGATAAGCTGCAGCTATTATAATATTGCCAATTTGGTTTTTTGTTTGTTTTGAATGGTGAAATTACAAGCTGTAAGCAAGGACAACATACCTGTAGAAAACTGGGAACAAAAAGTCAGTAAAACAAACAGTAGAAAAATCTCATGGGGGACAGGACAAGAGGAATGTATTCATTTTTAAATTAGAAGAGCTGATTTAGCTTTCTTGCTCTTTAGATCATAGGAGAATGAGAGGCTAGAATAAGAAGGTTAAGAAGAGAAGAATTCCGGTAGCAGCAACTTTAGAAGAATTTGGCAAATGGGTCCACACTGCAAACTAAGCACTATAGGAAAACAGAGTATCCAGTAGCCCGGGGAAACCAAAAATATTCAGTTACGAAGGTATCTGTCCAGTTTTCATTCAATGGAAAACACCAGTTCTTAGCCAGGCAGCTCTTTACTGAATAAAAAAAGAAGCAACTTTCAATAATACAAAATCTATTATCTTTAAAATAATCAATTACATTTTAAAGGAAAAATTCTTAATCTAAGAGTACTAGAAGATAAAATTTTTGCTTCAAATGCCTCTCAATTAACTGGTCCTTTATAGGTTCAGTTTACCTACAGACGTGAAACCACCCGTCTCAAAAACGAAGTCTTAAAACACAAATTAAAAAGCAAAACCAAAAACCAGCAAAACCATTCCTAATTACTGACATTGGGTAATGGATGCATGAAAGCTTGTTAAAATATTTCATTACATTATTCTCGTTTAAGTATTTCTAAATATCCACAATATGAAGATTTTTTTAAAGCCTCCAGATAAAAGAGCAACTAGCTATAGGACCTTAAACATGTTAATTTTTTAAGTCCCAGTGTCCTTATTTTTAAAATAGGGATATCAACACCTACTTTGCAAAATTGATGTAAATATTAGAAACAACGAATGTAAAGCACACACCAGTACCTGGATCAGGCATGTGGTTATTAAATAGTGATTGTGTAGGTATGTATGTTCTCAAGAGAGCTTGACATTTAATAAGAATTTGTACTTTGCAGAATTAACATTCCAGATGTGTCTATGAAATAACATAAATGATTTTATTTTTCTAAAGTTCTTTTAAAGTAATTTTCATTATTTCAATAATATACCAAACATTTCAGAAAAGTTTTATATAAGATTGGCTTATAAATTTCCAATCATTGTTAGTATCCTCAATAGGATAAGATTTAGTCTCTTGAAAGATGAACATCACTTTTGGACCCTGTTCAGTCATTCCAGTTAATTCCAGTGGGTAACCAAACTATGAAATACCAGTCTGAACCAAAAACTAAATGAATTGGGATGCGACTGAAATTCTTATATGGTCCGTTAGAAGTAATCTAAATGAGGGTTCTTTCATCACTATGTATTTCAAGAAACTTGCTTAGGACACTTATCCATTTAACTTAACAGTTTTTAATTCTCCCACTTACCGATGTAATATTGCTATTGTTGGCTGCACTGAAAGGGTCAGTGCTTGAAGTGGCAAAAGGATCAGTAGATTGCCTGAAGAAACAGTCTGATGCAAATGGATCTGAACCTTTGAAAGGATCACCACCAAATGGATCTAAAAAAATAAGGCATGAATATAAGAGACAAAAAAAAATTATTGCACTAAATTTCCCATCACTTGAAGGTATGATCAGTGCCTTAATTAAAAGATAGTTTGGGGCCAGGTGCAGTGGCTCACACCTGTAATCCCACCACTTTGGGAGGCTGAGGCAGGCAGATCACTTGAGATCAGGAGTTCAAGACCAGCCTGGCCAACATGGCTCTACTAAAAAATACAAAAATTAGCCAGGAGTGGTGGTGCGCACCTACAGTCCCAGCTACTCGGGAGGCTGAGGTGGGAGAATCACTTGAACATGGGAGGCAGAGGCTGCAGTGAGCAAAGACCTGCCACTCCACTCCAGCCTGGGTGACAGTGAGACCCTGTCTCAAAAACAAACCAACAAAAATCAACAAACAAAAAGACAGTTTGGGCTGGGTGCAGTGGCTTACACCTGTAATTCCAGCACTTTGGTAGGTTGAGGTGGACGGATCACTTGAGCTCAGGAGTTTAACACCAGCCTGGCTAACATGGTGAAACCCTGCCTCTACTAAAAACACAAAAATTAGCCAGGCGTGGTGGTGCGCGCCTGTAATCCCGGCTATTCAGGAGGCTGAGGCATGAGAATAATTACTTCAGCATGGGAGGTGGAGGTTGCAGTGAGTTAAGATCACACTACTTGTACTCTAGCCTGGGCAAGAGTGCAAGACTGTCTCAAAAAAAAACCCAAAAAGACAGTTTGAAATGCTGTAGAATCTAAGCTATTTTTTATTTCAGACTCCTTTGCAATTTTGATAAAAGATATAGAACCTTTCACCTAATAAACTTATTTTTTTAAATTAACATATAATTTCAAGGGATCCAATTTTAAGTTTCGTTATTCTATGCTATCATAACTAAAGAAAACACAATAAAAACTTCTAAATGTATTTTTCTCTCTGAGATCAAAGCTAACAGCCAATAGTTTAGAACAGGTTTGGGATGCGAAAACTAAACGGTAAACAAGATTTGCATTATTCTAATGAAAATTCCCAGAAAAAGAGTATCTTAAAAAGCCTGATGTTTTAGTAATTCTTCAAGATCCTCTTCCTCTAATCACATGTGTGGGCTATAATCATAGGAAAACAAAATTACATTCTAAATCCCGAAGTAGTATAGATCATTATGTTCACCAAACCTTTAGTTAGTAAGGAGGAATCAGAATAAATATTAAAAGCACCAAAGTCTAAACACTAATGTCATTTTTAAAAAAGTAAAGCTACTGGGCATAGTGGCTCATGTCTGTCTGTAATTGCAGCACTTTGGGAGGCTGAGGTAGGAGGACTGCTTGAGCCCAGGAGTTTAAGATCAACCTGGGCAACACAGTGAGACCCTGTCTCCACAAAAAATTTTTTAAAAAATCAGTCAGGTGTGCTGGCATGAGCCTGTAGACCTAGGTACTCAGGAGGCTGAGGCAGGAGGACTAGTTGAGCTCAGGAAGTCAAGGCTGCAGTGAGCCATGATCACACCACTGCACTGCAGCCTGGGTGACAGAATAAGACCCTGTCTCAGAAACAAAAAACACCAGGAAAAAAAAAAAAGGAGAAGTAAAAGTAAAGCAACAATTTATTAAGCAAAATCTCAAGAATTTACTACTTTCTTTCTGAAAATGCCAGGCACATAGAGTATCTTACTGGGGCTTCAGTTTCAGACCCAAATAACATAAATTTATTATTAAGCGGAAATGAATGAAAGCTAAGATGAAACTCAGTAAGATACTGACCAATTTTTCCAAAAGGATCATCCTTGAAAGGATCACCTGTGATAAAATAAACAGAAAGAAATCCAAATAACAGTATTTACTGTGATGACACCGTTACTTAAAGGGTAACTTTAAAACAAAAGCAAAGCAAAGTTTATTTCAATAACTTCACTTCAAAGTAGATAAAATAAGGAATGTCGTTGACCTTATTAAATGTACAGCCAACTATACTTACCTTGATCACAAGTTGAGGTTACAGATGGAGGGGAAGACATTGCAGCAAAAATTTTACTAACAAAACCTCTACTCTTCACAAGAGTACTGGGAGGGTGTTATTATCACCAGTTCAGAAATAGAGATACTGAGCTTTACTGAAGCGGGGAAGGAAAAAAAAAAAAAAAATTCCTACAGGACTGAAGAGTCCAGAAATAAATCCTTACATTTATGGTCATTTGATTTTTGAAAAGAGTATCAAGAACACAAAATGGACAAAGGACAGTCTTTTCAACAAATGGTGTTGGGACAACTGGATATCCACATGCAAAAGAATGAAGCTTGACCCCTATCTCACATCACATACAAAAATAAACTCAAAATGGATCAAAGATCTAACTGTAACAGCAAAACTATAAAACTCTTAGACAAAGAGAGCAGTAAAGCTTTGTGACTAAGGTAATAGTTTCGTAGATGACACCAAAAGCACAAGTGATAGAAGAAAAAACAGATAATTGGACTTCACCAAAATTGAATAAACACTTTTCCAAAGAAGACATACAAATGGCCAATAAGCATCTAGAAAGATGTTCAACATTAGTCAGCAGGAAAATACAAAGCAGGCCAGGCGCAGTGGCTCATGCCTGTAATCCCAGCACTTTAGAAGGCTGAGGCAGGTGGATCACCTGAAGTCAGGAGTTCAAGACCAGCCTGGTCCAAATGGTGAAACACAGTCTCTACTAAAAATACAAAAATTAGGCCGGACGTGGTGGCTCACACCTGTAATCCCAGCACTTTGGGAGGCCAAAGTAGGCAGATCATGAGGTCAAGAGATGGAGACCATCCTGGCCAACATGGTGAAACCCCGCCTCTACTAAAAATACAAAAATTAGCTGGGTGTGGTGGCAGGCGCCCATAATCCCAACTACTGGGGAGGCTGAGGCAGGAGAATCACTTGAATCCGGGAGGCAGAGGTTGCAGTGAGTCAAGATTGTGCCACTGCACTCCAGCCTGGCAAAATAGCGAGACTCCATCTCTAAATACATACATACATACATACATACATACATACATACATACATACATAAAGTTAGCCGGGTGTGGTGGTGGGCGCCTGTAGCCCCAGGTACTCAAGAGGCTGAGACAGGAGAATTGCTTGAACCCAGGAGGTGGAGGTTGCAGTGAGCCGAGATTGTGCCACTGCACTCCAGCCTGGGTGACAGACTGAGTTGGTAGGCTATTGAAACCAAAGCCTTAATCCTTAGTTTATATATTACAAAGCCTTTTTTTAGGTAAATCTATAATAGAAAAAAAAAAAGAGTACTTACTGCCAACGAAAGGATCAGACTGGAAAAAATCCAAGTTTGTATCTGCAACTGGATCTGTCAGTGAACTTGAGTCTACATTAAATGGATCTTCCTAAAAATAATTTTTAATTAAAATTTTTTTTTAGAAACCAAAGTTTTAAAAGGTAACATTTTAAAATAAAATAACATATATTCAGGTCATACACATGCTTTGAAAAATCAACTGATGGGCCGGGCACAGTGGCTCACACGTGTAATCCCAGCACTTTGGGAGGCTGATGTGGGTGGATCACAAGGTCAAGAGAGAGAGACCATCCTGGCCAACATGGTGAAACCCCGTCTCTACCAAAAATACAAAAATTAGCTGGGCGTGGTGGCACATGCCTGTAGTCCCAGCTACTTGGGAGGCTGAGGCAGGAGAATCGCTTGAACCTGGGAGGTGGAGGTTGCAGTGAGCTGAGATCGCGCCACTGCACTCAAGCCTGGGTGACAAAGTGAAACTTAGTCTCAAAAACAAAAGAAAAATCAACTGATGGTAATGTAACAAATATTTCTCTAGTCATAAAGTACATTTAACACGTTTCTCTTTCCTTCGCCTAAAATAGTGTATAATTCATCTAAGGAAAACAGTGATAAGGACATTTTTAAAATATATCATTTAATTTTTAGAGATAAGGTCTCTCTATGTTGCCTAGTGCCACCAGCTCAGGCTCAAGCAATCCACCTACTTCAGCCTCCTGAGTAGTTGGGACTACAGGCACTTGCCACCACATCCAGCTATTAAGAACATTTATTTATTATTTATTTATTTTATATGTATAAATTCAAGGGGTCCAAGTGGAATTCTGTTACATCACTATATTGCCTAATGGTAAAGTCGGGGCTTTTGATGTATCAGTCATCTGAATAATGTATATTGTACCCATTAAGTAATGTCTGATAATTCACCTCCTCCTGTCCTTCCACCCTTATGAATCTCCAATGTTAATATAAAATCATTTTTACCTCTTTTGAATGTCTGTTATTATCGAGTTCAGAACAAACTTTTTCAGTAACAGCTGTAGTCACCTCATTTTCATCAGTCACACCAGAAGGCAGTAGTTCAGGACTACTTCTTGCCTACAAAATATTAATGCAAGTAGATTAACAATATACTTTTTGACTTGGCAGAGACAACTGACTAAAGATAACCAAAAATTATTTAAAAATAAAAAGACAAGTAGAACGTATTCATCAAATAATTTCTCCTTCTATAATCTTTTTTAGGGACATGGTGTCATCAAGCATCAAAGTCATTCATGTCAGAAACCTTCAGGTCATCTTTAATCCTCAGTTAGAATAAGACTCCAAGTCTTGCTCAGTCTACCTCTTACCTCTTTTTCAAATCCTTGCCTTCTTCTCCATCCTCACTGTCACTATCAGTCACTTACAGTATTATTATCTTTGGTTCCAATTACTATAGCAGTCTTCCTTCCAACTGCTTTCCTGCCTGCAATACGTGCATTTCCAATCTCTTCTCCTTACTGTAGCCAAACTAATAGCTCTAAGACTTGGATGTGATCATGACCCTTCTGGTTAAAATTTTTCAATGGCTTCCCATTGTCTTCTTCATTTAGACGAGTGGGTGAAAGACTTAAGAAGCAGTAGGGGCAGACTGGGTGCGGTGGCTCACGCTTGTAATCCCAATGCTATGGGAGGCCGAGGCAGGCAGATCACGAGGTCAGGAGATCGAGACCATCCTGGCTAACATGGTGAAACCCCGTCTCTACTAAAAATGCAAAAAATTAGCCAGGCGTGGTGGCACGCGTCTGTATTCCCAGTTACTCAGGAGGCTGAGGCAGGCGAACAGCTTGAACTTGGGAGGCAGAGGTTGCAGTGAGCCGAGACCACGCCACTGCACTCCAGCCTGGCCCACAGAGTGAGACTCTGTCTCAAAAAAAAAAAAAAAAAAAATAGCAGGGGCAATATCTATTTTATACCACCCTTATCTATTTGAAGGATAACCTAGTAATCTGCCTTTTGCACTTGAAAGAATATTGTATAATCCATACGCAACTGTACTGTGTAAATAAAATCGAGTCTGTTAACTTTTCACTTTTAACACCTCTCAAACTTCTATTCTTCCTATTATCCCTTCTACAGTCTTACTCTCTAATTCGTTTTCCACATTTCTAAAAGTTAATCACATCACTTCTTGCTCAAAATTCTTCAATGGCTGTTCACTGTATTAGGATAAATCCCCCAAAGCTTTAAGATGAATCTAAATTTCTCACTTTCTGGCACTTTCTGACCTAAAAGTGGTCACTTTTATCCAGGTACACATGACAATCACCCATAGAATGTGTTTTTAAAATACATGTATCTGGCTCTATCCCAGAAACTAGTTTAGCAAGTTTGGGGAATCACCTATACTTTGATAAGCACCAGAGGTAATGCAGATGCCTACTAGGAGCGCCTCATCTCTTACCAATACCCTCTCCATCATCACAAGATATCCTTCAGAACTTCTCAAGATTCTGTGCTGCATGTATTCTTCCACCTTATACCTATACTAATACTGTTTTCTCTGGCAGGAATGTATCCTCCTCTTCTTTGCTTAACCCTTTCTCACTTGTCAAAGCTCACTTACAAAGCTTTTTCCAACAAAATCTTTATGAACCCCCTCCAAACTGTCCGATCTAAAAATTCTGTGCTTCCTTTAGCACAGCCCTCTAACACAGTGTTACACTACTACACTATACACTGCTTGAAGGAAAGATTGAGGTCTCTTGTCTCTGTAGCTCTTATGTAATACAGCACTCTTGCACATAGTTGGTACTCTCCAAATAATTGGTAAATAAATGTCCTTAACACTATGTAATAAAAATTATTATAGTTTTGGGTGAGGTACTTAAAAAAAAGTTTTACTCTATGGAACAACTGTTTTAAAAACAGGCTCTATAAAAAATAAATTAGCTGGCTGGGCATGGTGGCTCACGCCTGTAATCCCTGCACTTTGGGAGGCCAAGGCAGGTGGGTCACTTGAGGTCAGGAATTCAAAACCAGGCTGGCCAACATGATGAAACCCCATCTCTACTAAAAATATAAAACATTAGCTGGGTGTAGTGGCATGAGACTGTAATCCCAGCTACTCAGGAGGCTGAGGCAGGAGAATCACTTGAACCCGAGAGGCAGAGGTTGCAGTAAGCCAAGATCACGCCACTGCACTCCAGCCTGGGCAACAAGAGCAAAACTCCGTCTCCAAAAAAAAAAAAAAAAAAAAAAAAAAAAGCTGAAGTTATCTTTTTATACTATACTAGTTAAAATGTACAATTGTTTGGATTAGGACTCACTCTCTGCCTCTAAAAAGGAAATCTCAATTGTTCTCACATGAGGCAAGGCCATGTATTTATATTAGATATAATGCCAATGAAACTTGGATCTGCACAAGGAAGTTGATTATGAAAGTTATGAAAGTATTAGACTCACTGGAGATTCCTGGTGTATGGGCTCAGACTCTAGGTTGCTCTGGCCTTCAGCATGTTCATTAAGGTTGGCTGTTTCACTGCTGCTGGTGCTGAGGCTGCAATAATCTGTAGCTCCATTTACAAGAATGCTGTGTGGGCTACTGCACCAATTTAACGTATTATTATGATTTTCCAAATCTTTCATTTCCATCAGTTTCATTTGCATCTGCCAACACAAAGCGGGAATACAGAACAGAATTTATTACTCAAAAGACATGTAACATACAAATGCCCTCCTCCACTTCCTGACGGGCTAGGTGTGGCAGCTCTTGCCTATAATCTCAACACTTTGGGAAACTGAGGCAGGAGGACTGCTTCAGCCCAGGAGTTCAAGACCAGCCTGAGCAACACAATGAAACCTCATTTCTACAAGATATATAAAAATCAGCTGGGCATGGTGGAGTGCACCTGTAGTCCCAGTTACTCAGGAGGCTGAGAAGGAAGGATCACTTGAGCCCAGAGGTCAAGGCTGCAGTGAGCCATGATCACACCACTACACTCCAGAGTGACAGAATGAGACCCTGCCTCAAAAAAATAAATAAAATAAAAATGGTTATAACCATAGACTTGGTCTAGGATACATTTGTTTCCTTTAAGAAGAATCCTCTGGGAATGCTACATGACTTAGAGGAAGGATTCAGTAATTTCTGACAATAAGTATTCCTTTTTTTAAGGAAATTCAAAAAAAGAAAACGGTTTAAAGAATACCCATTCATCTGGCACCATTCTCACTACAACTCTTTCAGGTTACCTGTTTATTGAGTACCTACATTAGGACAAGAACTGTGCTAAATGATAGGGATTTTTAAAAATGTGTAAGTTCCTGGACCAAAACCATCAGTCTGCTAGGAGAGACAGACATATAAGCAAATATGCAGGGAAAAATCTTATTACTGCTATAATAGAAATACAAAGTCCAACAAAAGCAGAATGCAGAAAATACCATAAAGAAATAAGAATTTAAGGTATATCTTGCATGATGAATGAGTAGGTAGGTACTCAGCTGCCAGATAACAGGGGGTAAGGAAGCACAAAAGTGAAGGACTTCATTCTATGTAATAACTGAGCACACTGGACTGGATTTTAGAAGAACTGGATTTCAGATGTAGCCCTTTTCAAGGATATGTAACCATGAGAAAGTTACTTGAACTTCCTTGGCTTTAATTTTTTCAAATTCATAATGAAAGAAATGGACTCCATGATCTCTGTGTTTCTGTCTAATCATCCTTTTTTTTTTTTTTTTTTTTTAGTTTTTAGTTTTTGAGACAGATTCTCACTCTGTTGCCCAGGGTGAAGTACAGTGGTGTGATCTGAGCTCAATGTAACCTCGGCCTCCCAGGCTCAAGCGATTCTCGTGCCTCAGCCTCCCAAGCAGCTGGGATTACAGGCAGGTACCACCATGTCCAGCTAATTTTTGTATCTTTTAGTAGAAATAAGAGTTTGGTCATGTTGGCAGGGATGGTCTCGAAATCCCGGCCTCAAGTGATCCGCTGCCTCACCCTCCCAAAGTGCTGGGATTACAGGCATGGGCCACAATGCCCAGCCCTAACTATCTCATCATTCATTAAAACATTAGTCTTCATGTAGGGAAACCTGGAAATAAAAAAGCAAAGGATCTATACATAAGACCAACTATAACACTGCACATTTATCTACAGAAGGAACAATTTCCTTAAGGAACAAGTTTCCAAATTAGTAAATGGGAATTCAAAATTAGAATCACAAAACAGAAGAAACTAGGTTATTGTTTATAAAATAAGCAACACTTATTGAGCACTTATATACCAAGCACCATGCTAAAATGTCTTATAGGCTTTGTCTCTTTAATCCTCATAGTGGCCTTAAGGGGTAGGGTATTTATTAATCCTCCAATTTTGAAGATGAAGAATCTGATACTAAGGTGATTTAGCTAGTAAGTGGCAGACCAGTACTTAAACCTAGACCATCCAGCCACAAAGTCCACACTCTTAATCACTACTCCAATGATAATCATCAGATAGACATACAAGATGTATGATAGTTTCAATATACAACAGGTAACAACAACAAAAAAAACCTATTGTATAAAATGACTGAAAAATGAACAGTAAACTAGGCAAGAGGTTGAAGGAGCAGAAGTTGGAAAGTATAACTGACTAAAGGATACAGAGGATCCATTTGAGTATATTTCTTGCTTTACAAAGACTTACTGAACTCATTTCCTGTTGTGAATCTTGTAGGTGCTGCTGAAGAGGTTCCAGTTGAGCCTTCCCTGACTCTACACTCTCCTCCAATTCTGCTGTTTCCTGCTGTAGACGGCTCAGCTCTTCTCTAGCTTTTGCCAATTCTTCTTCATAAGTGGAGATCTGTGATTCCTGACTAGTTAATTCAGCTTTCAGAGAAGAGATCTATAATGTGAAAGTGAATGAGAAGAAATGGGGATTAAAAGAAGAGATGTCACTGAAATGTTCCAAAATGCAATACATTTATTTGTTTAGTTTACTTTACTATTTTGGTGGGGTTTTGTTTGTTTGTTTGTTTTTGACAGCAATAGCAAATAATTTATTTAATTTTTGAGAGAGAGAGAGTCTTGCTATGTTGCCCAGGCTGGATTCAAACTCCTGGACTCAAGTGATCCTCCTGAGTAGGTGGGACTATAGGAGCATGCCCAGCCATAGGTAGGCCTATTATGGTGTTTTATTGTTGTTGTTGTTTTATTTCTTTGAGACAGTCTCACTCTGTTACCCAGGCTGGAGTGCAGTGGCACGATCACAGCTCACTTCAGGCTCAACTTTCCCAGGCTCAGGTGATCCTCTTACCTTAGCCTCTCGAGTAGGTGGGATTACAGATGTGGGCCACCACGCCTGGCTTTCAAAAAAAAAATTTTTTTTTTTGAGACGGAGTCTTGCTCTGTTGCCCAGGCTGGAGTGCAGTGGTGTGATCTTGGTTCACTGCAAGCTCCACCTCCCGGGTTCAAGCCATTCTCCTGGCTCAGCGTCCTGAGTAGCTGGGACTACAGGCGCCTGCCACCGCGCCCGGCTAATTTTTTGTAATTTTAGTAGAGATGGGTTTCACCGTGGTCTCGATCTCCTAACCTCATGATCTGCCCGCCTCGGCCTCCCAAGGTGCTGGGATTACAGGCATGAGCCACTGCGCCCAGTCACCTTTCATATTTTTTGTAGAGATAAGATTTCTCCATGTTTCCCAGGCTGGTCTCCAACTCCTGGGCTCCAGCAATTTCCCCCGCCCCAGACTCCCAAAGTGCTGGGATTACAGGTATGAGCCACTGTGCCCGGCCAATTATGATGTTTTTTGATGTATGGTTTTCATAGAGAAGGCTAACTGGTGGAGGGACAGAAGAGAGTTGAAGGTATAGGTACATATTTTCTAACAAAAATTTGGAAAACCAGTTCATTAACTGCCCTATTTCCTCTAAAGAAGGCCTGTAATTTTTGTATGAACCTTGCTCCATCGCCCCCATGAACCCAAATGCTGACTAGATTGCCAACTACCACCACCAATAACAAAAAGTAGAGAATGTTTTCATCTTAAGCCAGGAAAAGCAACTAACGTATAGATGCAGGCAGCAGGAAATAGCCAGACATTACCAGTTGGGCCTCCTCAGCACATTTCTTTCTGACTTCCTTGAGTTGCTCCTCCAGCTGGGCTTTCTGCTCATCCAGTTCATCAAGGAGTTCCTGTACTTGCTGTTTCTGGGCCTGTAGTTTTTGCAGATTAGTATTCTCCCTTTGAACTTCATCTTGAAGATCCTAAAATCCAAGAAAATTAATATATTTACTTTCTTTGTGGGTAGGGGAGGGTTAAGTTAGTAATTTTAAATCTGCCTTAAGAAAGAATAAAGTCTTATTGAGTATATTGTGTTGATGAGACTAGGGTACTTAACAGCTTTAAATACAATCTTTACTTGAGGACATCTTTCTTAGAATCCAAATTTAGATATTCAATTTGCTAACTCAAATCTGTCCTTGGACGTGTGATGGGCTTTGCTAACATGTTGAAAATAGAACTCCTGGAATTTCCCCACAAATCTGTTTTAAGCTCAATCTTTCCCCTCTCAGATTCTCTGGTCAAAAAAACCCCACAAGGCATCTTCTTGGACTCTTTCTTTCACCTCTCATCTCTAATCTGTCAGCAAATCCTGTTGCAACCTTCTTTAAAATATATCCAGAAACTGACCACCTTTTCCAAACTTGGTCCAAGTCATTCTTATCTCTCTCTTGCCTTCTAATTGGTATTCCTACTTTCACTCATGCTACCTTTCAGTGACTTTCAGCACACCAGCTACTGTTAAAAACCTGTATCAGATCATGTCACTCCTCTACTCAAAACCCTGAATTGTAGCTGGGTGCAGTGGCATATGCCTGTAGTCCCAGCTACTTGGAAGGCAGAGGTGTGAGGATTGCCTGAGTTCAGGAGTTTGAGGCTGCAGTGAATTCTGATCATGCCACTGCACTCTAGCTTAGGCAACAGAGCAAGATCCCATCTCTAAAAAAAATACTCAGCAAATGATGCCAGGCATACCCATATGGCAAAAAAAAATTCAAGTGAATCTCTAAATGACAGCAAACAGAAAAATTAATTATAGGTCAAGTGGGATGGTTCACACTTGTAATCTCAGCACTTTGGGAGGCTGAGGCAGGAGGATTGCTTGAGCCCAGGAATTTGAGATCAGCCTGGGCAACATAATGAGATCTGTCTCTACAAATATTTAAAAATTAGCCAGACATGGGCTGGATGCAGTGGCTCACATCTGTAATCCCAGCACTTTGGGAGGCCGAGGCAGGCAGATCATGTGAGGTCAGGAGTTCAAGACCAGCCTGACCAACATGGAGAAACCTCATCTCTACCAAAAATGAAAAAAAAAAAAAAAAAAAAAAAAATTAGCCTGGCGTCCGGGCGTGGTGGCACATGTCTGTAATCCCAGCTACTTGGGAGGCTTGAGGCAGGAGAATCGCTTGAACCCAGGAGGCAGACATTGCAATGAGCCAAGATCTTGCATTGCACTCCAGGCTGGGCAACAAGAGCACAACTCCATCTCAAAAAAAAAAAAAAAAAAAATTAGCTGGACGTGGTAGCACGTGCCTGTGGTCTCAGCTACTCGGGAGGCTGAGGTGGGAGGATCTCTTGAGCCCAGGAGGTCAAGGCTGCAGTGAGCTGTGATCATGCCACAGCATGCCCAGACTGGGCAACAGAGTGAGACACTGTCTCAAAAAAAAAAAAAAAAAAAAAGGAAAAATTAATTCCAGGTAAATTATGGACCTGAATATAAAAGGCTAACTTTAAAATGTGTAGAAGAAATGCAGATCTCAGTGTAGGAAAAGATTTCTTAAAACAAAACAAAAAAGGATGAACCATTTTGAAAATGTTATATTATTTATTCATCCATGTACATACCAGACCTCATGCTTAATAACAAGAACTACAGAAATTTTTAAAAAGCCAGGCGCAGTGGCTCAGGGATTAGTATCTTCAAAGTATGTGTCAGCAGGAGGTGGGCAAAAATCTCAAAGAGGGTGAGGTAAAACTGAACACAAATTTCTAAAAGTAGTATCTATTCAAAAGTCCCAACAGTCATTCACCAGAATAAGAATCTAAGAACAGAAGAGAAACTTAAAAGTAAAAGGTCTCTGATTTACTGCATAGGTTACACAAGATAGCACCATCATGATAATAGCCAACACTTTAAATGTTACTTACAATGTGCTAGGTTCTGTTCTAGGCTCTTCAAATATACTAACTTATTTATAGTCTATATGACAGATCTATCAATTAGGTACCAATATCATTCATATTTTACAGATGAGAAAACTGAAGCACTGATATGTAGGTAACTTGTCCAAAGTTAAAAATAGTAAGCTATGGATTCAAACTGGGTTCTGACTCTACAGTCTGAGCTCTTAACCATCATGTGATATACTATCTGCAGACTAAATGTCTCACATGTGTGTCACTATTTTTCAAATATATGCAGATGTTTCTGTGATTTAATAGAACACTGAACAATGCTTTCAATAATTGCTTTTTATCTTATATTTTCTTAAGCAACTGGTTAGTCTAAAAATATGTTGCTTTCTTTAAAAAATTCCTTTAGAGCCCAGGCAGAGCAGGCAGACAAGAAGGGAAACTCAAAGGCAGCAGCTGAATGGATGATACTTGAGGAATTCGGATGATGTTTGATAAGTGTCATCAACTCTGCAAAGAAAGGCAGAAAGTGACCCTTGTGTCATGAATTGCTAACTCTTGCACAAAGGACTGATAAATGGAACTGTACAGAAAATTTAAGATGCAGGGACACTTGATTTCTGAAAGAAAACACAATTTCTGTATTTTAATTCAGTCCTTATTTTAAGAGACCTGAAATTATAATATTGAAGGAGAAGAAATTTTAAATGAGGAAATAAGTACATTTGAAATCTTAGTTAAATCTGCTTATGCCCCTTCTAAATTGAATTTTTCTTTACTGTATTATATAGATTTTTGATTTGCCTAGGTTTCTTAAGAATCAGATGTTCTCTCATTAACCCGTCAGGAAACAACAGATTCTGGAGAGGATGTGGACAAACAGGAACGCTTTTACACTATTAGTGGGAGTGTAAATTAGTTCAACCATTGTAAAGACAGTGTGGAGATTCCTCAAGGATCTAGAACTAGAAATATCATTTGACCCAGCTATCCCATTACTGGGTATATACCCAAAGGATTATAAATCATTCTACTATAAAGACACATGCACACGTGTGTTTACTGCAGCACTATTTACAATAGCAAAGACTTGGAACCAACCCAAATGCCCATCAATGATAGACTAGATAAAGGAAATGTGGCACATATATACCATGGAATACTATGCAGCCATAAAAAATAATGAGTTCATGTCCTTTGCAGGGACATGGATGAAGCTGGAAACCATCATTCTCAGCAAACTAACACATGAAAAGAAAACCAAACACACATGTTCTCACTCATAAGTGGGAGTTGAACTATGAGAACTAATGGACACAGGGAGGGGAACATCACACACCAGGGCCTGTTGGGAGGTGGGGGACAAGGGGAGGCAGAGCATTAGGACAAATACCTAATGCATGCAGGGCTTAAAACCTAGATGACGGGTTGATGGGTGCAGCCAATCACCATGGCACATGTATACCTATGTAACAAACCTGTATGTTCCACACATGTATCCCAGAACTTAAAGTATAATAATATTTAAAAAGAATTAGATGTTCTCTTTCTGATTCCTTTGACAAAAATGTTTATAGATTATTTACTATAATTTATTTTTAAAATTCCTTTGAAAATGCCAACACAATAGATGATCATGAAAGACTTTCCAATGCTAACATTCCGTGAGTCTGTGTGATCATAGTTTCAAACTGGTGAACTCCTTTAGTACTTTATCATTAATTTACCAGCATGCCTAATTTTTTCCATGTCTAAATTTTTAACCGTGCCTACACTGTTAAGTAATCCATACCATATAGAGATATGGCTTTAGATATGCACATGGCATTGGCTCTGAATAAACTCATGCCAAAAGAGAAAAATGACTTCAATTTCTCTATCACCCAGTCTAGTAACTTCAGATTCATCTTTGATTTTCTCCATTCATACATGTCCTATAGATTCTACCTTAAAATCTCTGTTTAAGCTGTTTACCAAATTAGTTTAGCTTTCATCGTTCCTTCCTTGATATACAAAACTGGGTTTTCTCTCTTTGTTTCTTCCTATTCCTGATGTCCAACTTGCTTAAAAAATAACTCACTGCCTATAATCCCAGCACTTTGGGAGGCCAAGGCAGGCAGATCACGAGGTCAGGAGATCGAGACCATCCTGGCTAACATGGCGAAACCCCATCTCTACTAAAAATACAAAAAATTAGCCGGGCGTGGTGGTGGGCGCCTGTAGTCCCAGCTACTTGAGAGGCTGAGGCAGGAGAACCCGGGAGGTGGAGCTTGCAGTGAGCTGAGATTGCACCACTGCACTCCAGCCTGGGCGACACAGCAAGACTCCGTCTCAAAAAACAAAAAAACAAAAACAAAAAACAACAACAACAAAAAAACACCTCACTGCAAAGGAGTTTTCTCTAGTCACTGTTACTTTAAAAAACATGTGATGTTCCCTCTTATCTACAGGATTAAGTAAAACTTGCTGCAAGACATATTAAAACTTTCAGTTCTGGGTTCTACCTTCTTTTCCTCTCATATTCACCTGTGACCCAGCCTCAGAAGACCCTATTCTTTCTCTAATAGACAACATATTTCAATGACCTTATGCCTTTCCACAAGCCATAACCTCTGTCTTCAATGTCCTTCCACACCATAGGTACCTGGAAACCCACTACTGATTCTTCAGAATCCAGCCAAATTTACTCTCCTCCGACTCATCTTGGGCTTCCTTCACCTGTGCTCAAACTCTACTGTTTGTTCCTAACCTCTGCTGTCACACTTAATATACTGTAATCATGGCTACCTTTAAATTACAAACTTCTAAAGGACAGTGTCCATGCTTCATCTTTCTTTGATTATCCAAAATCTTGTACAATGCCTGGCACATTCTAGGGGATTAAGCAATGACTGTAACTATCATAGGATTTTAGTATGTGGGAGAAACTAATGGGAAACATACATGAGACTGACAGAAAGAAAAGACTTACATTCTTTTTACATAATATGAAACACTTCACTATGTATTTAAACTATAGCTATTCATTAATACCCCAAACTGACCTATGACAAATGCTTTTTAAAAA